AGCAAAACGAATAGTTACGATGGAGAGTACAGGTTGATACTGCGAACCCACCCGGTAAAATTCCCGCAAGCTTGCCAGCACAAGATCTTCAAGCAAACTCGAGCCGTGAATTCTTCAACTCCACCCAGCCTCAGGCACAAATGCGTAGGCGGCAACCATACCCTAGACCACGAAACTGCCATTACTGGTTATACTTGGCCCAGCACTACTGATTGCTACACTACCTGGTCAGACTTTTGTTTTGTTGTGCATAGTCCTCCTCGCGACTCCAAAGTATCATTATTGTCATAATTCCTGGTATTGTGGCATTGGCGTTTCACTGCTCGTCTTTTCAAGACTCGCGCTAGCTGCAGCGGGGTTTCCGTCCGTACAAGATGTGACATCTATAGTCTGCAGTTCTCGCCGCCTTTGCAGCTTAGTCTGCTACTGCTCCCATTACTGCTCTTCCTACATTCGAGAGACGAGGACTCTAAACCCCTAAATCCTAAATCCCTAAACCCCTACAGGCACCCCGAATCCCTAAACCCTGGGCCATGTTTACTCTCTACCCTAAGGCCTGTTTGTGGCTCATATTCAGAATCCTATAAGGTAACCCCCAAAAGGAACTACTACTGTTGATGATATAAATCCTGCATTACCCATATTCAGGAATATACCATAATTCCCATAGCTTAGGGTTCCTTAAGGTAATGCAGGATTTATATCATCAACCGTATGGGGCCTTAGGGTTAGGGTTTAGGGTTTAGGGGTTTAGGGTTTAGGGTTTAGGGTTTAGGGATCATCAACCGTATGGGGCCTTAGGGTAAGCTCCTGAGCTTCGACGGCAAGGCGGCCTTGCGCACCCTGGGTCGGATCTCTGCGGGCCCCGCATACAAGCAGGCCTTCCCGCGACTGCTTGGAGGTTCATGGGTAGTTATAAGGGTTCCTTTAAGGGTCCCTTTAAAGGGATCTATAGGGATGCTATAAGGGTATAGGGTTTAGGGCCTACTTGGAGGTTCATGGGTAGTTATAAATGGCTCCATAAATCCACTACAAAGGGGTTATCAGTATAGTTACCATACTTATAACCCTACTATATCATGACTACCCATGAACCTCCAAGTGACATGTATGACTGTTGAGGGTTTAGGGGTTAAGGGGGGTCATAGGGTTTAGGTTTTAGGGGTTTACCCAGACCCCCCATCTATCCTTGATGAGTGATGCCTTAGCTGCCTGCGAGTACGGGCCGCATATTCAATTCCTAAGGGTAAGTGGAGGGCCCTGGTATTTAGAGTTCATGTTTCGGGGCACAGGATGCAGGTGAGGGTGTCCGGAATGGGGGATGTCAGTGCAAGGCCTGATAAGATGGTTTCAGCGATGTGCATGGGGTGTATTCGTTCGCCAAGCTTGCTACTTTGCTTGGGTACTTGAGTTCTTTATCATAGGTTGTTGCCCTAAACCCTAAACCCCAAATCGCAGTCACTACATTCTACATGCACAAGTTGACTCCCTTGCCTTTCAAAACATACGCTCGGCTCTCATGCAATTTAGTTGAAGGCTCAGTGCCTTGTCATGTCATTTTTCTTCGGAGCCATCCCTTCAATCGTAAAATCTACCCTCCCGTCAAAACCTCCTCCAACTCAAACCGTTGACGGCCGACACCCGAGGTGGTTGGCGATGGGCGCTTCCATGCCATCCTTAGTACCTTGGCAACGCGCCAGGGCCACAGAATTGTCATGGATTGTAGTTTTTTCTGGTTGCCGATGTCTCGTCTGATGCAAAATCCAAAAGCCCTATTCTAATTATGGCATCATGGGACCCCACATTAGCGTGTAGAGAGCCCTACACCATGCAAGCCCTATGACGTGCCAACCTGGCGACAGCACAATCCTATGACTACCCTTCAGGCTGTTTTAGATATATGTATTTTCCGGGTCAAGAATTCCCCAGGAAAAAAACTGACGCACAATTAACGGGGCACTTCTGCATGCACCGCCGTCTGCCGGATTGGAGTGGGGGCACCGCAAAGCAGCGCCCGACAGGGAGGAGTAAACGACACATGCTGGCCCAAACACAGCTCCCTGTCAAAAATGGTCGAAGGGTGTTCTTTGCCATTGGCAACACAGATCTGCTTGGAGGTTCATGGGTAGGCATAACTGGGGTCATAAGCCCCCCGATATGGGTTATAAGTATAGTTACCCTACTAAAATCCTACTTATAACTACCCATGAACCTCCAAGTAGGCCATGTGCCCAGTCCCTTGACATGTTCCATCGCCAAATAATACGGAAGATAGTTGGGGCCATCAGAGGCCAGAGCAGCATACTTCGGAGTTCGGAGAGCGCTCTGCATGATGTACATATGTATGTGTGTGTATATATATATATATATATATATTGAGATGTATGTATATATATATATATATACACACACTTTTCCTTTATACATACACACACATATATATATATATATATATATACATATTTATTTAATTATGTATTTATTAATTTATTTCTTGATGTATTTATGCACATAAACAGACTCTACTGTGGTGTTGTACGGTGACAGTGATTAAGGCGTTGGCTTGTCTTGGAGTCTGGCCGGGAGCGCTGCTACGCCCAGTCATGTGAAAGCATTTTTCCAATGAAGTGGCTACTACTTGGGTAGTTAGAAGTATAGGGTTATAAGTAGGGTGACTATACTTATCACCCATATTAGGGGACTTGTAACCCCGCTTATAACTACCCATGAACCTCCAAGTACACCCCGAACGATAAGCATTATTCACTGACTTCTATTTACGCCAGCTCGGTGGTGATGGCTCCTCAGCCCTGAACCCCAGCCCAAAAGAAGTGCCATCCGCTAAGACTCCAAGTGTATAAGTGGTACTTTGGAGTCTACCTACTTTGGGCTATTTGGAGTTTGTTGAGACCCTAAACCCCCAAACCCCTAGACCCAAATCTCCTATTAAGCCGTGGACCCTATAGGGATCATCTGAGGTCTCGAAGACTGCGACGCCACGATGCTTTCAAAGATCTCGGATGCCACAGCGAGGCCTAGAGGGGAGCGGAAGAGCTGACTTCATGGTTTTGGGATTTAGTTTAGGGATTTAAGGTATAGGCGGTATAGGGGTTGGGGGTTTAGGGTTGAGAGATGTAGGGTATAGGGGTTGGGGGTTTAGGAATATAAGGAAAAGGGGTTGGGGGTTTAGGGTTTGGGGGGTTGGGGGTTTAGGGGTTAGATTTTAAATTATTCGGGCGAGCGCTGTCTCTTTCACTTTCGACTGGAACCCTCTGCAGACATCCTTCCTTGATCGCCGTCCCGATAGACCCTTTAGTGCCTTACTATACGCCCTACCTATAGTCTCCATTGTAGTTCCTTTCCTTGGTTAACCGGGCCCTAAACCCAACGCTCTCCGAAGGTTCCGCACCAGCACGCCAGAGCTTAATGACCTTGCGCAACGTCTCGCCGAGGCGACAGAGAGACTTCAAGATCTTAGGGATTTGTTGTATAGGCTTAGGGGTTTAGTATTAGGATTCAGATAGCGTCGACTGCAGTGTTGGCATCGGGTCCATGGTTTACTGGACTGTATCACTAACACCTTTGGTGTTGTGGGCTTCGCGGTTCAGGTCTGTTGAGGGTTTAGGGATTGAGGTTTTGAGTTCCAGGCCTAATCCCTAAACCCCAAACCCTCTGCCTTAGTGTAGGTTGGGCCTAGCAAACTTTCAAGAACTAAACACTAGACCCTAAACCGTAATCAGGATTTCAGTAAACGAGCTAGAACCTTAGAGCGATGTGGAGATGCCCAACCCTCTAGCCTAAAGGTTCCAGGGTCGCAAATACTGGTGGAGAGCATTCCCACCATCTACAGGTAATTGCAGCCATGGAGCAAGTGTAGCGCACCTCCATTGCATGGATGACGGTGGCGCAGTGCCGAAGGTCGCACATCAGAAAGAAGTTGTGCTGAACACAACTTGCACCTCCTGTGCGAACTCCAAGATTCCAAAGACTGGTGCAGGGTGCAGATTTTTGCCCGGGCATACACCAAGCAGCCCCAAGCTACTTTCGTGAAGGGTCGCTACTTGTAAGAATCTTGTAATTGTAGCAGAATACATGAAGCTGGTAGTTTAGGGTAGTGCATCGGTCCCGTGACATGCACGTGCGATTTGGGCCTGGGCAGGCGAACCTCGCATCCCGAAGCAAAGTGGCACGACCGTGTCACCTTTGTACACTCACATTGCAGCTGTAGGCGCAGGACATAGCAGCTCGGAGACAGCACAGAACAGTGGGTGGTCGCAGCAACATGGACGGTGACGATGTATTGGTTCAGCGGCACAGACCAGAGAGGGGCGATTGGAGGAGAGAGACGACGAATCCAAGGCACCGTGCTGTTTGAATCCGCCCTCCCTACTTGTTGCAGGTTGGCTCGCCGCTAACCAGGGTAGGGACAAATATGTGTAAGTGTTGTTAGTATTTAGGATGAAGAGTTTATAGGGGAGGTTTAAGCATTAGGCTGAGTCGGGTTTGTCGATTCCAGAGGTCTGCATGAATCCTCCACAGCTGGGCCCCGACTGGTTTTCCTGTGCTTTCATCCCAAGGGTGGTACCTCGCAAGTTGCTAACGGAAATACGTTGCGCATCGGGACAGCTCACAACCCCTTCAGGGCATGTACTATTTCATAACCCCGAGAAAGCCGGGTTGATAGAATCCCTACATCCGCTTAGGTCGCAACTCGAAGCTGGAGTGATGCTAATGTGGCGACCTTGATGGTTGCAATAGGGTTATAAGCCTCTCTGTAATATGTATTATACTTGCAGTCAGGAACCGTAAGGAAAAGTATGGGTAAGTAGGTCTTTATACATGGTATAGTCAGATAATAAGGAACCTTCAGAAATTATTTTGGTCGTTATGTAGGCTTCTGCCCTGAACCCTAAACCCTAGACCCCAAGTCAAGGCTCAAGGCTCCAAAGCTCTCGCGGGCCTGTTCTCCCCCCCCTCTCCCTGCGGTAGAGGCTGCTGACATGACAGGGCGAACCCGAGGAGTCGCAAACTCCGACCTCGGCACGGATCTACTGGGGCTGCAGCACAGCGCTACCCGCCCTAAAGCCGGCGGCCCCGTCCACATCCCCGTGCCGAACGCCTTCGACCCCGACATCGACGACTCCGCGCCTTCCCGCAGACCGGGTGACATGACCGTGGATTATGACGGCGGCCACGCGGCAACCAAGCGGCCACCCGAGGCCACCGAGGTGCCCTCGCCTACCCGGCCACGAGGGGAGCCCAGGGGAGTGACGCTCGACGACATCCGGGACCTCCTCAATCTCCAGACTCAGCAGCTTCAGGACAGCCACCAGCAAGACTTGCTGGACTTGAAGACAGCCACATTCAAAGAAATCGGGACCCTCAAGAAGGACGTACGCAAGCAAGGCGACCATATCGAACAACTCCGGGACCAGCAAGAACGAATGGAATCGCGCCTCAGAGCCTTGGAAGATAAAGATCACGCGGTGCCTTCTACTGCAGCATCGGATCCAGGACGCCCCAACCTCCTCATCTTGGCTGGGTGGCCGCAGGACACGCCCAAAGCCGATTTGCTGTCTGAGCTCACCAATTGCCTCCAGCAGCTGGGCCTCGGCGACTCGTTCGAGGAGATCTTCTGTACGGGACCCCGCCGTGGCTTTGCCATGGCGTTCCTCAAGATGGACCCCAATGAGACGGGAGGCCAATTGAACCGACAACTCATCCAGATCGCCCCAGCAATCCAGAGAGCTTAGGCGACAGCATGGAGCCGGGCAAGACATTGCGAGCCACCTTGGGCAAAAGCCGCGAGGAAAGGCTGGTGAGCAACCACACCGCTAAGACAAAACGCCTGATCCTAACGATCAATGCAGCACTCAAGCCATTCTTGGAGACGGAATACTCGGCCGGCAATGTGTGGTGCAAGGACCAGCTGGTGGCCTCAGCCAGCCGGCCATCTCCCCATGCACAGTGCGCCCCAGGACGAGCACCACGTAGCTGGATCGACCTTCCAACACTCAGCACGCTATTGCGTACTCCCACCGATGAGCTGGACCGCCAATGGACGGAACTCATGACGTACTGAGAAGAGAGCGAGCAAACTGAGCCGCAATTGGTCTCTGACCCATGCATACGGCCTACCCGGCCCACTACTCTGCAACCAAATTCGAACACAGGCGGGAGAACACCTCCCCGAGCACCGGACGAAGCCTCTGGTCAAAGACCGACGCTGATCCCGAAGACATTTTCGGAGCCTGGCACGGCTGCTAGCTCTACAACGGCCGAGCAGGGAGCCGCACAGCAATTCCAAACTTGCAACCATGGCACCGAGACGGCTGCCTCCACCCTCAGCACTGATCCGACCCCGGACACACGGGGACAGTACGAGCCCATTCATTTCTCCAGCTGGAACATAGGGGGCACCAGCGTCGAAGACGCGATTAAGTCTACCCGACTGGCGGCAGACAGGAAATGCCCCGAAGGCCGATTGGATGGCACAGCGAGATTGTGGGGGGACCTTACCGTGGTTCAGTACCGCCACGACGACACGCAGTGGCGGGGCAACGCTGTGGCCTTCTCCCCAGCGTTCCAGATACTAAGGCGCAGAGGGGGCAAATTCGGAATCTGGTTAAGACTTCGCCACCTCCCTACGGCAAACGAGCTATGGGTGGGAAGCCACAGACTCAGTACCGGAGTCACCAGCGATGTCACAGCCGACGAATTGCAGAACATGTGCTCCTTACTTCCACCTACCCTGCTTCCTGTCATCCTGATGGGCGACTGGAACACCCAGCTCAAGTGGAGCCGGGTCTCAGGTAACAGGGCGGACCTTCGACCGACTGAGGCCAGATCGGAGTACCTTCTGTCACAACTAGGAGCGGGCGGTATGGTGATGCAAGCCCCGGCCCAAGACCAGTGGGACGTGCCTACTAGCCGACCAAGGCGCACACGGGCCCGAGGCCGACAGATTGACGGAGTGGCGTGCAAGCAGGTAAGGCTGGACCCAGTTCGCATCCATGTTGATAGCTACAAGCAAATCATCAAGGGCGATCACGAACGCATCTCCACACAGTGCCTGATGAGAGTAGGAGAAAGACCCCCGCCACAACGAACCCCGACACAGCCAAGGGTAGTCATCAAACAACCCCCACGACTAGACCATGTCGACCAGAACGTCCTTCAGCAACTGGCCACCGCCTGCACAAAACCAAAACCCAGCGAGCGATACCGGGACCCGCCGGCAGTGAAAGAGCTCTACCGCATAGCAAAAACGCTTGGAACCGAAGACGACTGGAAGAAGGCCCACAAAGCCAGGCGCCAGGCGCAAGTGCAATGGAGAACAGCCAAAACAGAGAAGGCTGCAGCGGGCAACTGGAGGGACTACCGAGACCTCAAAACCAAGGGAGGCACAGAGTGGACTGTGCATTACGTCCAGGCAGCAGAAGACCAAGGAAAGGACCCCAAGCGCTGGACCATCATGCACTTTAAGGCACTCTTTGAGCAACCCGCCCCCAGGAACCCTCCCAAGTGGACTAAGGACGTCGACTCAGGTGAACACTTCAGTATCGAGGAACTAAAGCAAGCTCTGCAGCGAGGACGAAGGAACAAAGCTGTGGGAGAGGACCTGGTCTCCTATGAACTGATCAGCGTCTTGTGCGAGGACGAGGGCACAGAACATGCATTCCTGCAATGGATGGAACGCCTACGATGCGGCCAAGAACTTCCCCAGGAGTGGCTTCGAACGGTGGTGACCCTACTGCCGAAAACCGAGCAGCCACGGGGCCCTGGAGACCTGCGGCCTATCAGCGTGGGCGCAGCCGCGTCCAAAGTCTTCGGGACTATGCTGCTCCTCCGCACCCGCAGATACCTGACCCCACTGGGCCCAGCTCAGTGCGCGCATAACGGCCGCCAGACCTGCGACACTTGTTCTCCGCAGTCAAGCTCTTCACCTTGGATACCGAGTGGCACCTGGGCCTGAGCTGGTGCAAGCTAGACATCCGCAAAGCGTTTGACACCCTAGCCCGAGACAAGACCCTGGGAATTCTCCGCGACCGGCTGCCCTCGCACATGTTCTCCGAGTACCGCTGTTATTGGGAAAGACTCTTCTACCAGGGCACAGCGGTACTGAAGACCCCCTGGGGAGACGAGGAAATACCGCAAGGCAGGGGAATACGCCAGGGAGCGGTCGAAAGCCCGTTTCTCTTTGCCATCGCCATTGAGACAGCGCTTTACGATGCCATCAATCAACCCGCCTGGCCAAAGATCATTCCGGCCGCCCCAGACCTCCCGCTGGCTGAACTGCTGTTCATGGACGACACGCTCATGGCGGCAGCATCGCCAACCGACATGGTCAAGAAGTACGACCTCCTACGGACCGAACTTAACAAGTGGGGACTCACGGTGAACCCGGAAAAGACAGCATACTACTGCTCACCGTACTCCACGATGAAGGGACCGATCCAGCTCGAGGGCAAGACGATCCAACCGGGTGACAGCCTCACAGTGTTTGGCATCCCACTCAGTGTACCCTTCAAACCCACTGCTATCATGGACACAGCTATTTCCAAAGCATCTAAGAAATTCTTTGCTAACAAACATGTGTTCTTGGCCGAAGCGCCGAAGCACCACTCAGAAGCAAACTCAAGATGTTTCGGTCGATAGTGGGAGGGAGTCTCCTCTGGTACAGTTCGGCAGTGTCCCCGAACGCCCACGCCATGAGTAGCATCAACACGCTCCAGTTGGAACTCATAGCTAGGATGGCAGGCTTCCGGAGACGAACAGGAGAAACGTGGCTTGACTGGAGAATGAGGTCACTCCGAGGCGCACGAAGCATCCTCCATACACATGGCATGGAAAGATGGTCCAGCACCTGGCTCAGGCGATTCTGGTCCTACAAGGGACACATCGCAAGAGCGACCCACCAGGAGTCGCCCCCAGCTAGCTCCTACCTGGACTCATACAGAACACTGCCGTGGTGGCAGGAACAGCAACGCCTCACAGACGGCATAACTCATGCCGGCAGCTTCTTCCCCTACCATACCAAGGAAGAAACAGCTCCAAAAAAGGCTTGCGAGGCCGCAGACTGGAGAAACAAGGCTCAAGACCCCATTGCATGGAAACAATTTGAAGCCACCTGGGTAGCCAACATGGACGTCCCGTGGGCTTCAGGTAGACAACTTGCCCTGCCATCGTAACAGTGTACAGCCCCACTTTCCCCATGACATTCGCGCGCTCAGGTCGTTGAAGTGAAGCCCCTGGCTGAGTAACGACTCGAACCGAGAAATGCTAAACCCCTCACCACTCCCCCAATGCAGCCGTTCCAGCCGCAGCCATTGCACACCTGATGCAGAATCTGCAGGCCCCTGTAAGCCCTGCTTCCATGAACATGGGAAAGAGCGGCGTCGTGACGACCCTGCTCTACGCCTGCCTCGCAGCTGCCAGCATCCACCCGAGGCAACCGCCCACCCAGACGATCAACGGCAGCTACGCACGGCGAGAACTCCCCAAATTCGACATCAGCACGGAGGCTCAAGAGCACCACTCAGTCGACCACGGCACCGCCGACCAGACTAGCCACAACATGGAACCGGACCTGGTGCGCCCCGTGAATACGGCCCCTGGACTACCAGTACCTCAGCCGCAAGATCGACGCCGACTTGATCGACGAGGCCCGGATCATCAAGAGGACAACGACCGCCTGCATCGACTACGGCACGAAGACCTACGGGAGACCGCAGGCACATCCAATGCCGCTTCGAACCATGGGAACCAGAACATGCGGACGTCACCGCGGGACCTACGCGAAGGCGGGCGGCCCTTGCCACAACCAGAACCGCAAGCCCTGGACCCACGGGAACTACATCCGGAACTACCCGAACCTCGGCAGAAACATCGCAATCGAGCCCGAGCACCGCACCCTGACCTTCCCCGGCAACACGATCCTGGACACCTCCCACAGCAACGAAGGCCGACAGAGGCGCCGCTACCGCGACCTGCGCTACAGCGACCTGCAGCTGGACAGAGCTCGACCACCGTTGGACATGAAGACCCTCGTGAACACCTGCCACATGAACTACGCGACCAAGCTCAAGATCGGCACCGAGCACAAGGCTCACCTCGGCACGGACACGATCCTGCACACCATCGAGGCAACGACGGACAGGTACCACAGCGGACGAACGGGAAGTCGGAACCACCAAACAACGCGAACCTGCCGGACCATATCAGTTTGATGAGCACCCACGCCATGGCCCTGCTCGCCATCTGGTCAGAAACCACTACGCGACACGATGGTGGAGACATGCACAACGACTCGAGCAACACGGACAGCCGGCGAGGACTCCAAGGGCGTCGCAACGGGAAATCAAGGAGCTCATGGAGAAGATCGCCAACACGGTGTTCCGCTCATGGTGGAGAGAGGCTACCACCATAGTACGGGGCGCCAGGCTACGCCCTTGCGGATGCACCGACCTCTCCGACGCGGAAACGTCTTCTTCCGAAGAAGAAAGTTGCCCGGCAACTCCAGAGCTACCAGCACAACAACGACCTCAAAGATCTAGATCCCCCAGATCAAGCCGAGCCTTCTCCCAGCCTCTACACGTGCAACCGCCAGGCAGCTACATCGACCTCGACGAGCAGCCCGCCGGAGAGGCAAGAACCAGCGAGCACGCCGACATGCACACAGTGATGGACCCGGACTACAGTAGCACCGATATGGACGAGACAGACGCCAACTCGCTCATGGCGACCAAGAGTGGAGACGTGCCCAGAAGAAAGCAGAGCCCTACAAGATTGTGGAAGGAACTGCCGCCAGACAAAAAGACCCACACGGTCAGGAAGCTGCTGCCGCCCTGGAAAAAAGAGGGCAACCCTGGGCTAAAACCCAGACAGCCGAGCCACTCGCCAAAGCGAACCCCGAGGTCAAAGCCGCGGCCACAGCGAACAAAGTGCCCTGCAGACATCCCGGCACCGGCTACTCCAACGGCACCGGCCACTTCCTCAGGAGACCCCATGGAACCACCTGCGGAGAGCACCGAGCTGGGCCCGGAAGACGCGGTGGCCATTTGGCAAGCCATCTTCGACATGGCGCCTCAAGAAGCAGTCGAGCCCGGAACAGCGCCACTGTTACCCACGCATATCAGCGACAGCATTGTGGACACCTTGGCGGACAAGTCGGAGGCCGAGCACAGCATGATGGTAGACACGTTCCCCCAGTTCATGGCCCGCATCCAGACAGACGGAGGCCTTGCTGAGGGCGCGAACGCTGAGGGAAAGATTGAGTCGAGACGACAAAGCAGAGGACCCTACGCCGGTGCCGGAGCCACACCTGATACACCGCCTACAAGAGCATGAAGGAGACCTGGCAGTGGACCGGCAAGCCCTCGAGAGCCTCCTAATCGCCGTGTCTGGCGACATGCCAGAGGAACCACAGGGCGACGGGCTAATCCTGGAGTGTGGATGGGTCGGCACCTGGTGGGACCGCCTCCGAGGAGTCAGACCCCTGGGACCGGAAGCCATCTAGCCTTCATGGAGGCCCACATCGAGACGGACGACAAGGAGCAAGCTACCAGGCAGGCAGAACAGGCCCACCACGAAGCACAGGACGCGGCATACCAACAATGGGCAGAAGAAGCTGGGCGAGAACACACAAACCAGAAGAGGGCGGCGGCCGCCCAAGCAGCCGAGGATGCCACCATGGAGGCCGCAGCGGGATACTCTTGGGAGCCTCCTAAACGGAGGTTGTGTATGGGCGTGTGCGTCGACGACGGGCGCCGTGCGAAGGCCTGGGAATGGGAACTGGATAAGGGAGCATGCATCCAAATCCACATCCGAGCCGAGAAAAAGGAGTTCGAGGGCAAATGGCTATTCCGTGGACAACCTGTACGCCCAGAGGAAGTACCAGCATGCCTCCGAAACGACCCAGCTCCTAATCACCGCCCGCAGGAGATCCCGCCGAGGCATACGATATGGAAAAAACAGCCACCCGCGAACTCTACAACCGCTGGAGGCAACAGCAGGTGTCAGATCAGGCGGTCGTGATGACGGGTGGGATAGGCCTGCTGAAGCGCTTCCGGGACGAACTGCTGCCACCAGAATGTCTACAGGAGCTGGCGGCCAGAGACACGTTCAACGTCAGCAGATACGACGACACCGATGCACAGCCAGGGCCAACACTGACCCGACCACAAGAAGGTAAAGCAGCCTCCTCCCATGAACACCCGGCACTACCCGCTCTTCCCGGCGAACCAGGACTACCGCAACATCCCCAAGGAGCAGCACATGAAGACGGTCCTCTACCAGCAGGCGCAGGGCTTCCCCCACAGCATGAAGGAACCAACACGAGCACCCACGCCACCCAGCAGGCAGAGATCGAACCGGGAGAACTCGAGCAGAACGCGGATCCGACACAACAGGACGTCCACAGCAATCCCGACTCCTACTTCAACGGGCGGCGGTTTTACGACAAGTACGGCGGCATCTCCGACGCTGAGCCTAGCGACCGTAGTGAATAGGCATGCATAGAAGCCGGATGCTACAGCGACTGAGTGAGCACAGGTTTCGATTCAACAGGGGTCATGCGTGCTTATTACCGTATACCGTGCATGTTTGGAAGTGCCCAGGGCCGCGACTTTATCATGGCTGTGTAGAGATAGCCATACCATGTTCCGAACGTTCTGTCGACACTTTGCAGCTACTTGTTCCAGGTGAATCTTGGCATGACAGGATGACAGAACGACCAAGGAACAGACAGTGCACAGGCACTGCATTGGCTTGGGGCCTGAGTTGAGGGTTATAGATATTAAAGCCCTAATCTCTTGTCCACACTGAGGCCCCACCATAGGCTCCACCTGGTAAGGTATTCCCTCTGGTAATGCAGTTGGAAAAGGGCCCGCAAAAAAAAAAACCCTAGAACCCCAAGCCCTAAACCCTAACCCCTAAACCCCCAAACCCCCTAAACCCTAAACCCCTAAACCCCTAAACTCCAAACCCTAAACCCAAAACCCCTAAACCCCAAATGGGCTGCGACGGCTAGAGACTAGTGCAGTTGCAAAAAGGCCTTCAAAAAAAACTAAACCCCTGAACCCTAAACTCTAAGGTAGTTATGTAGGCTTCTCACTATGCCAGGTCGTTTGCCAACGGGAGGCCGGCGGGATGGGGAAGCTGTTGCGAAGCTAGAGCTACTGCTGATGGACAAAATCCTGCATGACCCTAAGGATTCTAAGCTATGGCAACTATGGTATATTCCTTATAAAGGGTAATGCAGGAATTTGTCCATGAACAGTATGACAGAGGCCTTAATCATTACCTATGCTGTCTGTAGTAGTGTTCTATATTAGGAAGGGGTCGAAATGGGCTGCCATAAGGGCTATTATAAGGATGTAGTCTAGGGGCCTCAACAATTACCTATGCTATTTTGGGGCGGCTCCTTGAAAGGATTCCTATAACGAAACAGGCGCATCCATGGGCCAAAGCCATGACTTCGTGCACCCAGACCTCATCCGTTGCCCTCAGCACACACGGGCCAAAACCATGACAACCTCCACCCAGACATCATCCATCCCCCACAGCATCCAGGGCCCAAAACAATCATAACGTCCACCTAAGCCACCCTCGCTCTCCAGCTCACCCATGGGTCAACCAAGATATCAACCACCCTGACC